AGTAAAATAAATTAAGGGGGGGGGGGGAAGAGTAAGGAAAAAGGGAGGGTGCAAAACAGAGTGTAAAGCAAACAGGTTTCTAGTAAATAATTTCCTCTCTGACACTTTAACAAGAGTATTTACTAAGGCATGATCTTTGGAGATGGAGATGCAGCTGCTTGGTGTCTCTTACACTTAACAGTACTCCCACTCCTATTATTTCCAGGAGGAAAATCTCTTGCTGTCTCACTACACTTGCCTTTCTCCGCTTACTTTACGAAGTACTATCTCAAGCGAGAAAAGCAAGCAGAGAGGTGAAGCGACTTGCCCAGGGCGCATGCCAGAGGGCATGTGACAGAGAAAGTAAGAGAGCTCAAGTCTCAGGCATCAGCCCTATGCATTGGGTAGTTTTAGTCCACTGGGCATCTCTTCCAGGCCCTGCTCATGCTTTTAGTGTACTCTATTCAACAGCAGAATAAATTCACCTCAACTTCTGTCACAACACATGCTTGCAAACTGAAGAAACAGCAATCAATTTCACATGTCAAAGGATAAAAAAATAAGTCTTCATGCTGCAGCAGTATGGAGCTGCAAGGAGAACGAATGGTCCTAACAGGGTCATCAACAATTAGGAACTACAAATCCCAGCCCAGCACTCACTTATAATGGAGTAATTCCACTCCTTTCTCCTTTGAATTAGGATCTACTTTCATCTTCTTGCATAATTTTCGGCTTTCAGTATCACTGCAAAAAACACATATTGGAAGAAAAATGGTTACAAGAAAGGAAATCAAATGCATTCAGTTCTGAAAACTCATTGCTGTGCTTCCTCATCAGCAATTAGTTGCAACTAACAGTAATTTGGAAGCTGTTCAGCTAAGTTTGTGGGACAAGCATTGTGGAAAGCTGCATTAGCCAATTTAATTTCTCCATTTGCTTGGTCAGGACACAGTGAACTGTGTTAAAACCACATTCCAAAGCCAGGCCCTAACCAGTAGAAAAGCAGCCCATTCTAGCATGTCCAAGTACCTCAGTAGACGTTCTGTCCATAGGATTAACATAAAATTTAGGAAGTCAAGTTTTCAAGACGACCGTGCTACTGTTAGGGTGGTGGTCAAAGAGCACTGTTTGTGAAAAGATTCAAAGAGAAAGAGCATGTCAGCTTTTATATCTGGCAGAAGATAACGCAAAATCAAAAAGAAGCATCTTCATGGTATCTCCAAGCCCAGATCACAAGTGGCTAGCCTTAAAAAGGTCCTGCAGAAAACAAAAACCAATTCAGATTTTAGAGTCCCAAGCCCAGCAACCCCATTCATTCTAGGTATGAGGGATGTGTCCCAGAGCCACAACTGGCAAGTGGAGGTAAAGACTATCTGCCACAGCTCCTGAAGAAGGAGGCACGTAAGAGCAGACAAACCTGCTGAAGGTGGTTTTCAAACTGAATGAGAGTGAATCGCTTCCAGCACTAGATTAGGCTGAGTTGAAGAAGAGAGAAGGGTCATGGGAGAAAACTGCATATACATTTGCTTAGGTGAGCAGGTAAAGGGCCTTCATGGCCTAGCTGCTGTCCTAAACAACATAGAAGTGAATCTATAAGGACACTTCAAGCTGAAGTGAATATGAAGTCAGTCAAAGACCTGGGGAGATGAGTGAAACAGTACAACTACAAAGAAAAGAGGATGATTCACATTGACAAGACTATTCTTTGCATTGACAAACAGCAAGATTAGAAAGCTTGGAAACTTGTTCCCAGCAGAGGACAACTTGTACCTTTTACGCAGATAAATCAATTTAGAAAATGAAAACACTGAAAACCCATCAAGTTTAAACTGATTAGAGACACTGAGATGCAAGGGTTGCAAGAGCCCCACCAAATTAAGTGTTGCTGCCAGCACTGGTGCTAATTCTCCCAATGTTCTCCAGCTGCCTTTCTGCAAATGTGAGGAACAACAAACAGTAAGTTCGCAGTGTGCTGCAGATGAGAGTGTGCCTTTGTGGAAACTTCCCAAATGCTTACTGTAGATGGAAATGAGGAGGAGGGTGCTATGGACACATGCATCAAAATCAAAATATTATGCTGAAGACAGAAACGAGCGCTTTAAGGAACTAACAAAGCATGCAGCTACCTCACCAGGAAAGAGCACCTGTAATCCCAACTGTATAGAAGCATGTTTATCTTAAGAGTCTTACTGAATTCATGTCAGTTCTGCATTTTCAGATCGTAGCCAAAGCTAGCCATTGTAACCCGTAAACGCTTTCTTTGCCTCTCCAGGACACTGGAGATCTGAGCCTGAGAAGACAGTTATTTTCCTGTTGTCTGCTGCATCTTTGTTTTCCCCAGACTGCAGTGGAAGATGGAGCTAAAACATGTCATCTGTTCGTTGAGTAACGTGAACATCCCTCCTTGTAACAAAACTAGATTACAAAACAAATAGCCTGGATTTGGAGTTTTGCCGAAAAGCTGGTTTGCCACGTGGAGTTTGTACAGGAAGTCTGCAACAACATCAAACCCAGGGGCCAGAAACATCCTGTCTTCTCTCACCTGCAGTCCTCCAACGGTCCCATGGGCTAAACTTAAGCGACTCGAACGTCAGGGAATCTCAGGAGGAGGCACCAGTTTCAGATCATCCTCCCGTCTTACCCCAGACAGATCTAGGCACAAGAAACCTTTGTGGAGCTGACTGCCAGACAGTTAACCAAAGTCAGCCCACACCACAGTCAACATTTGTAAATGCTCTTCTAAACACTCCCAAATGTTTCCAGGGTACACATATATTTGTGGCCATCTCAGCCTTGCCAAGACAAATGTTAGATGGTTGAGGTGAACAAGCGTAATGCTGAAACCTACCTCCAGCAACAGGGTCTGTCAAACCCCAAGATGTGCAGACAATCGTTCTGGCATCAGTAGAGGACCAAAACAGGTATCAAGACAATTCTGTTGCCAGTTCTGCCACCCATTTGGTACAACTTCAAACAATGTGGGGAAAAAAAGTGTAATTTTACCTTATGTGTCATTTAGCGATCCGGATACACATCTTAGAAAAGTTCTGCAAGGTTTATAGTTGAAAAAGGCTACAAAACATTATACTGAGATGTACCTGTGAGCAAGCAGCTAGCAACTCCTACCAATTCATTTTCTGTTTGCATGAGTTTCTATTAAAAAAAAAGATAGATAACAACAGCTGTTTCATTGGAAGGAAAGAGGATCTAAGCCTGCCCTACTTTCAGGATTGCTAAATTTGTAGAGATTCATGTAACTGCTTGAATGCACATCCATTATCACAGGAAAGAAAGCAGCAGTTTGCTCCAGTATGTCTCTTACCATCTAGTGGGCAGATACTCTGCACTGCTGCATTGGAAGTTTAGTCTGTTTATGCAAGCTATCTGCACTGATGCAAGGGATGGAAGAGGAGCAAATTCCCAGAATAGGAAGTGTCTAAATATGTATCAGTAATTTTTTCATGCATCAGTGCAGATTTTTGCACATGCCAGACCCACCAACTCAGATGCTATACTAAAGAATCTTTGGAAGAAGCAGAAAAGGAGACATACAGAAACGGCAGAGATGGACCCATTCTGCTTTTTCTTCTGCACTTATTGCCAGACAAAAATAACCTGCAAAGAGCAACCTGCTCTGATATCACTTGGTAATGACCATTATCCTTAATAAGAGTAAATATCAACACAGACGCAGTCTCTGCTCTGAGATTTGTCTCTTGGATCTCAGCCGAGAGCCTCTCTCTGAAGATGAGCTCCTCAACTCTCACATGGGAGAGGGTAATTAGGACTCCAGTTCTTACAATTTAACTATACCACTTGAAGAGGCAGTGTAAGAATTTGTTATAAAGACTAGAAGAAGAAGAAAAGAAAAACAAACAAACAAAACCCCAAAACCCCCACCACCACCCCCAAAATCAGCACTCTACCACCCAGGCCAAGACACTCCAGATAACGCACCAGGCTTACGAAATACTGGTTTGAGGATGAGGTCAGTAATGTGCCCCCAGCAGCCATCCTTGGCTGCCTCCTGCCATTTCTGTCCAGAGCAATTCAAACCCTCACAGGTCCCTGTTCTGCTACTGCTGAAGAGACCCCTGCTTTGCCTGCAGACAGTCCTACAAATCATCCAGCTTTATCTTCATGGAAAATCATCCAAAACATCAACCTATTTGCAACACCACAAAGGACCTAACCAGCAGCTGTCTACATGGTAATAAGGTCAAACCTTAAGTGGCACGATGGCACGGCTTCCTTCCACTCCCACAGGCATGTTCCCCATGCTCCCCCTTCCCACCAAATCAAACCGAGACTCCAAAACGCTCCTTTGCTGGAGAAGTGAAGACATATGGCAGCTTGTTAAAAAGAACGATAAAATGAAAGATCCCAGTTGACCTAACTAAGCAAGAAGTCTAAATAACAAAGACAAGGGTGCATCTCAGGAATACTTCACCCCTTTCCATTCACATCCCCGTCTCCTCCACTGGGAGACACTTTGTCATTTGGGGTTATGATGGAGCTGGCAGGAAGCCCGACTGGAGCGCTCCCTGTAAACCCCTGGGGTCCCTTGTCAGCATTAGCATGCATGAATAATCACTTTGCACAGGCAGCCAGCTGTTACCAGGGCAGGAGGAGGATGAGGGGCTTGCGAAGGAGATTGGACCTCCTTTGGCTCATCACCAGTGAAGCCAGCACCTGAAGGGGACATGCTACAGGCGCTCCTCAGGAGTGGTGCAGGATGCTCTGCCTGTGCAGGGCTGCCCACAGGCCTGGGAGCTCACGGTCACAAGGATGGAGAAGCAGCAAGAGATACTGATGGCAGTCACCAGTGGCAGGAGCAACCCAGAGAAAGGCTTCTGCAGCAATGTGTCAAGGTAATTTGGAGAGACAAAGAACAGAGGACAAAGCTAGACAGGAGGAACACAAAAGAAGATGCAGGAGTTTGGCCGCAGTAAGTCCACATTGGTTTCTAAAAACAAAACAAGCCCGAGCTGGATGGATCCTGAGTAAGAAACAGTGCACGGAGGTGGCAGTGCAAAACACCCTCCTTGAGGCGAATTCAAATATGATCCTGGCAGGTCCTGAAGGCAGTAGGGTAAGACCGAACATCCTCAACACCACCCTCTCTCATGAGCACAAGTAAGATCTTCTGCAGCTTCCTAATTATTTTCCTTATCATGCAATGCTGCCCACTGACTTCTCATCAAGAAGGGAAAACAGCCCTACAACCATATCAGCCTCTGGGGAGGAAGGATCTGGAACGACTGTCAAATCCCCTCTTAGGAAATGACAAAAATGCCATTCAAAAAAAGTTCGCATCGCCAGTTGCCAGCGTAATAGCAGCATGTGCATATGCTGTGTGGCCACGCCACTTCGATGCCACAGTGCTGGCATCTACTAACACTTTGCAACGCAGACTGGACCCAGCCTTCTTTTTCATCCATACCTACGGTGTTTCCAGGCACAAGAGAAGTAATTAATGGAAACACTGACAGCACCAATTTAAGTAACCAGGTCAGTACGTCTGCCTGCACAAAAGCTATCTCACTCCTCTATCAGCATATCACATAACCACACGTGAACCACAGACCTCACAATCTGTAAACAGATTTTATCTTCTCTCCTATCTGTACGTCTCTCCATCTGAAACCGGGGCTCAACAATCCACATAAATTATGCTTCAGCAGTCCCTTATATCATAGTTGCGCCTGTAGACCCCAAAGCAACGGAGGCTTTGTTATATCAGT